GGTGCTGAAGAAAAACCGGCCAACTCGGGTTGGATCGGTCCGGGTTAGTCGGTTTGGTTGGTTTGGGTATTGTTATGAACAGTCCTATCCCATGTAAATAAAGTAATGGCCATTTTATCCATAAAAATCCATTATTATAAGGGACAATTTTGTCTCTTTCAAGTGTTAGCAACTTTCCCCTAAATTGAGAAAATTATTTACCCACTTAGAAGATAGGTATCACATCCCCACATATATCTAAAAAAAGAACATGAAATTTTTAATTAATGGGAATCAAAATCCAATTAACTAACTTTCTCTCTCTCAAAATCCAAAAAAAAAACACCTCCTACATATTATTATGCATGRAAAAATATTCCCAATACATCGAGGTAGTATTTTGTGAGTAAGCATGGCCGTGTGGGTAAAATTCTTGTCGGCAAAAAATCCACAGTCGAATTTAATAACTGTTTTAATGGCAGCATCACTAATCATTTTGCTCAATAACAACCCTAAATTACTTTAATTACGTATGACCAACAATCATTCCATCTACCACTGGTTTGGAGAAAATGATTGATTACACATCCAATAAAGTTAAACAGCTATCAAATCAAATTCTTCTAATCCACTAATCTTCCGGTATAGTCTATTTAGGCGGCGTTTACCTAATGCATTAATGCATCTGGACACTTTGAATATTAATTAGAAAGTAGGTGACTCAGGGGTCGTGCGTCCCTCTTCTTGGCTAACATGTTTAATCTGAATTTTTTCAGATAGTATATCTTTTTTATATCATAGTCGAACCCTTATTCATATAAAAAAATAGTTAATTGCCTGTAAAAAGAAAAGCAAAGAATCAATATAAATGTATTTATGGTTGAAAGCATTGATACATCCGAAATGCACTATACACCTAATATTCATGGTTCAAAATATAAAAAAAAAAAATCAATTTTTTATTTTATTTTTCTTTCATATATTGATGAAGGTCAATTTAAATTAGACGACCAGAATTTAGGCCTTACTTACACTGTGTCAGGTTTGGGCTTCGAGTCAGACCTACCTCACAGCATTTTGCAGTTACAATCATATATTTTTTATTCATGGAAAAATATTTATAATGCACGGCTGCAAAGAAGATTGTGTGAAAAGAAAATCCGAATTCAGATATCCACACAACAACCCCATGTGTCAAATAAAACAATTTAATGAAATATAAAACTTATTGGAATAGTCAATAGACTCCACTTCCAGAACAAAATAAATTAATTACATTTCAAGCAAATGACTACTGGTCGGTCTCCTACTCGGAAAAAGGGGAAAAAATTTAATTCAATATAAAAATAAGAGATCGGACATTATAGAAATTGCCTATAAAAATATAGCTGGAGTTCTAATTCATCATTCTACTTCCTAGCCTCTTCGTCTTGCTTTGCATTTCAACATTTCTCTCCGGAGGATATTCAGCCATGGGGTATAACGATTTGCCAACTAGCATCCTGCAAAGTGAAGCTCTCACCAAGGTTTGTTCTTTTGCCATTCAAATCTACACTGAGATCCAATCAATAAAGCTAGTAACAATCAGATGTTTGGATTCATTTCGATTTCAACAGTTTGATCGGGCGGAATTGGAAGCCATTCCCATTCCTGGTAGAATGATACCTCTATTTGAGAGAATAGTCATTCCCTCCCCCTTTCTTAAAAATGGGAATTCATTCCAGCTGATTCCGATTCYCGTCTGAATCAAATAGATAAAAGGAATACATTATTCTGATTCCAATTCCGGTTATGAACCAAGCAGACCCTTAAAAATTGATTTTTGAATAAATCAAACATTAATGCTGATATAATTTCATGTCACAGTATATCTTAGAAACAAGTGTTTATCCAAGGGAGCATGAGCAACTTAAGGAAATTAGAGAGGCCACCGTTGAGAAATATGGCTCGGTGTAAGTTCATTCCTTGTTTTTCTTCCTTTCTTTCTTTGATAGGGGGTTGCTTTGAATTCAAAGGAGGTAATTAGTTTAGGTGGTTTTAATCTTCAACTGTTTATTGGATACATGATATAGGAGCATAATGAGCTTGGCGCCAGATGAAGCACAGTTCCTATCAATGCTCTTAAAGGTTATGAATGCCAAGAAGACGTTAGAGATCGGAGTGTTTACTGGCTATTCTCTTCTCACCACTGCTCTTGCACTGCCAGAACACGCCAAGGTTGGTAACTTTCAAGTCTAATCCTATACCCCCAATACTATTTTGTTTTTGGTTGGCAGATGGGAGATCACATCTAAGGCTGTGATTGGGCCCAATCCAAATCCCATTGGATTGGAGTTTTGGATAAATCGGGATACATCAACCTCATATTTTTCAATAAATGATAACATACAAATATAAATATAGAAGATGTTAATGATATAGATTTATGGTTATTAGGTGTTTAAAGTTTTCATTATTTGCTTGATTAACACTAATGATAATATACTTATGCTAAATCTCTGCAGATAACAGCAATTGATATCAATAAAGAAGCCTTCGAGGTAGGATTGCCATTTATCCGCAAGGCTGGCATGGAGTACAAGATCAATTTTATCGAGTCTGATGCCATGTCGGTAATAAAGGAAATGTTGAGCAATGTGAGTTCATAGTTTCTTATACATCGTACATAAGAAAGCAATTACATTTTTTTCTTCATTACTCTTTATATTTCCCTATTCCATGGTTCACTTTATGGTATGGTAGGTAGGGGTGCTTCTTGGTTAGGTTTACCAAGGTTCAAATTTTAACACGATCGGGCGTATCGTAGCAATTTTTTAAAAGATCCATATATTTTAAACATTGGGCCTTACCTAAACCCAGGGTTTAAGGTCAAATTAGAAACCTTAGGGTTAGAGGTTGAAAAATATGAACTTGGTCCAAAATCAAAGTTGCACAAATGGGCCTTAATCATTCTAAAGATTTCGTGGTTAGTAGGAGTGCAACTTGGGTTAGCCCAAGTTAACAGATTTACACTACTTCAGGCCCGGTCCTTTGAGCCTGGCCCATTTAAATTTTGATAACTCAATCCAGACTCGCCCAAAGTGCACCTCTAGTGGTTGGACTGTAGAGTAAGTATTTTGGAGGCCCAATGGGCCATAAACATTTGTAAGGCCCCAAATCAAAGTTGGGATCTCTTATAAATCATGTGAATAGAAAAAACCTAGGTAACCTGTAACCATTAGATTGAAGGAGCTGTACTATCTCATGCAGGGTGAAGAGGGTTTTGATTTTGTGTTCGTGGACGCTGACAAGGAAAACTACATCAAATATCACGAAATACTGATACAATTGGTGAAGGTAGGAGGAATTATTGCATACGACAACACCCTGTGGTTTGGCTCAGTTGCATTTGCAGAAGGTGATGAGATGTCAGAAGTTTTGAGAACGCACAGGGAGTCCATGTTGAAGTTAAACAGCCATTTGGTTTCTGATCCTCGAATTGAACTATCCCATCTTTCTATTGGTGACGGCCTTACATTATGCAGGCGTTTGTATTAATCAGTGCAAGATGGAGAGAGAGAGATGAGTTAGATTTCTTTCTCGGTGTCATGGAACTGAAGCTAAGGCGTTTAGCAGCAATGATAAAATAAAGATTTATTTTTTATGAAATCCATTACATAAGTTTTGAGGCAAAAGGATATTTCATTGGTTGTTTCACAAATGGCATAAAATAAAAAAATAAAATAAAAATTCAAAAAAAAAAAAATTTCTATACTTTTTTCTTTTAATATATATACTAGCGAGGACTCATGCGATGCATGGGATTTATTAAGCGAAAGTTAAATAATAGAAACGGTCATTTACTAAAATACATCTTATAATTTCATGGATTTACTAAAATCTACCATATAGTTAGCATTTTACTACACCACTTATAATTTGCAATGGATTTAATCAAACTTTCATTAGTTGATAGTGGAAAATGATAGTGTTGACCCTATAGTTCATTTAAATAAATTTAATCAAAAGAAAATAAAAATGAAAATACAATTTTTGCCCTTAATAAGACATAGGCAACCACTCTATTGACTATATTTGGTCAATTTTGTTTTTTGTACAAAACAGTGTTAAGAATATTTTTGGAATAAAAAATTATGGGCCTAATGGCAAAACAAACACTCCTTAATGAAAGGTTGATTAAGTAAATAAGTTGTAAAATATRTGAGATGTTTTAGTAAAATGAAAACTATAAAGTAGGTTTAAGTAAATATGTAAAACTATAAGGTGTGTTCTAATAAATGACCCTAAGGTTGCATTTGGAATCAGTGTAAAATGTCATTAGTGTAAAAATAATACACTGATGACGTTTTACACTGAACTAGAAAGTGACCATTGCTTTTTTGAAAATAGTGATGCATGGAAGAGTGTGAAGTTTTACATCAATAAAATCAATGTAGTTTTTACATTGATTATCGATGTAAGACTTTAGAGGCGATGAGGTTTTACATCTATTGTCATCGTAAAACTATACTCCATCCAAACACATGCAAAAAACTGAACTAGAGTGTAGTTTTACGTCGATAATAATTACACCCTCTTTCCAAACGCATATAAAATCGAATCGATGTAAAATTTACATCARTTCTTGATTTACATCGCATCCAAATGCAACCTAATAGAAACACATAAGAGTATACAATTGTTTTAT